AATCAGGCCAAAACAGCTGTCTTGTGCTTCCCAAGTTTTCAGTTCACGATTGATTTGTTCTATGCACATCAAATTTCCCCTTTTAAATTTGAATTTCCTTTTGAAATCTATGTAATTCTCTGTGCCAAGTGGAATATTGTGGACGGGTGTGTCAGTGTGTGTGTGTATACAAATAGTATTATTTGTCAGTCGCAGCTCTGAAGACGTCCGGGAGTAGCAGGTCAGGTTTAAAATTCCCGGTTTATGCGAAACATTCATGTTAGCACCGCGCCTTTTGATAACTTTGTTGACGTCTATAGGAAATAATTATCCCTAGAGCGTCCACACCAGTCGCTTTCAGGTGTCCTGAAGGTTTTGTCATCTGTAGTAAGCTCATCTTGTCACACTGAAAACGTTTCCGCTTTCGTGAATAGCTTGCATCAAAACGAGTAGTGGATAACTTAGCACACATTTCAGTGGAAGTTCAAGGGCAGATGAGCTAGAGACTTTCATTTTCGTATATTGACGTGGTCCTAGTAGTTCACCAGTCGGTCTCTGAGGAACTAGTGATAAGTCCCGTGCAAACGTTCCAGTCTCTCCTTAAAACTGGAAACTAGGAATATGATTCCGATTGATGTGTGCGGCGATTGAGTGAAATGGATTTGAAACATTTATTTCCCGATATCAAATTAATGAGAGAGCACAACGAAGCTAGTTTTGCACAATGTATGCCAAGGTAGATTTTGCTGCATCTTAACTGGTACAATACAGTACAATACGTGCAAAAAGAACTGTCATTCACACCATCACTGCTCTGGCAGTGGTAAAAGTATGATAACTCGTCCCTGTCCTATTATTGTGTAACCTGATGTACGGTTAAACGATATAGACTGTAGTTTTCAGCCGTATGGTACCAGTTGAGATGCAGCGAACTCTGCCTTGGTGTAAATGGATTTGCCGGTGATATTTTGCATTCATAACCTTTCTATCTGCAACTCTCTACACGGTTGGAATTCATTAAAAATTAAGCAATTCAGATGGGTTTTGCATTTCCTGTGTACACATGCTTTAGTGCATCAGTCCCAAGTTAGAGACATCCGACTGTCACCGTTTGACCGCCCAAATTTGTCAACTCCATCATGCATCCGTTTGGAATTATCAACCGTTTGTAGATAGAACTTCGTTAGCACACAAACTTTTCACTGCTAGAAACAAAGATATAAATTATAGACCATTCATATTACATTAGACACACAATTACACACACTCACGCTTGTCTGCCACATTATGCTACATTAACGTGGCTCAGTTCCACAGATCTAGTCGAATGTTTAAACAATTCGGAAACTGTGTGATTGATTTCTTCGCATTTAACTCACAGTGACGTGTAACTAGTGAGATAATTGATATTATGACAGTAAAATGACTAGATTAGAAAAGTTTCACAATCTAATGAATATCCGAATGGATTCATCTTAAAGCATTCCAAACGCAACCGTACACCATGAGGCTATTTGTCGTGTCTGGAGCGAATGAAACGTTAACTGAAAATCTGGGAAGCGCTTTATCGCTGTTTCGACCTCCTTGGATCTCATTGACTCAGTTATCACTGAAGTCGACAGCTGAACAAACATGAATCGGCAATTCGGTTGATCCCTGATGTGAACTGGTTGGCACAGTGGTAACACACACACGCCTACCATGCGATGCGGCCGGAGTTAGAAGCTCAGACGATGGGACGATGGACATGCACTACTGATGAGCACTCACAAAAGTGAAAACAGAGTCTAGTGCTTCCGAGTGTATGGTTGACCAAAAGAGTGAAGGACTGTGTTCGAATTTGAAATCGGAAGGTTGATCAGTTCAAAACAGGACTCATTTTTTGTTCAGATATACTCATATAAAAATTTGATTTTATTTTGTCTGAGTTCGGCATTACCATTATTTCTCAGAGCAGTATATTCTGAGGAACTTCCAAAAAATGTTGTTTGTGGTGATTATAATGACATAAATACACATACATGTGGTAAAGAATACAAAAGAATACACTCATAATAAACCTGAAACCACCAATGGAGTTCGTGGAAATCCACCCAAGTTTGACACGTCAATAAAATAAAATGCTATGACACCCAATGATTATCGGTTTTTCTCTTTGGAATCTGCCGACAAATTCAAATCGCAGTGGTGAGAAATGTTTAGGGGCTAGTTTATTTCTCACACCCGCACTAACTGGAATGGCTTGTGTAGAATCCTGGTCTGTACCTTGCTCATAATCGCAGTCAAACATGTATGGCCGTAAACATGATGCATCTATAAACATACATACACACACACGTACATCCATGCATACATACACGAACAATCCTCTTGTGTATCTGCATTCAACCTTGTTGTGTCATTGTTTGCGTGTATTACAAAAACATTATTTTCCGTTTACACGTCGAGTAACTAGCCAATAAAAGGAGTTAATAGGTTGGAGGGGGGAGAACGAGCTACCAGACACAGACTTATACAAAACACATGCACGAAGTGCTATACTCCACATCATATTTGGACGTTAGGTGAAACGTGTATTTAAAACTTCCTGGAGATCCCAGTTGCTGTTGCAACTCATTTGGTTCCAAATCTAGCAGCGAGGTAAGTCAATGCGTACAATAGGATGCCAGAAGTAAACGACTGGAGCGCGATATTAGCCTCGGTTGATCAGCAACCTTGTGTATTTTATGTTTGGTCACTGCAAAAAAGATGATTTCCACAAACATCTTTCACGAACTTCAATGATAAATGACTGTAGAACATCCATACTATCCCCAAATCCCTTAATTAGATTTCCACTGCGAGAGAGAAAGGCCACATAAAATATTGCTGCAGCTTCACTTATAGCACCACTCTTGATTGCAAGACGTATTCAGTGACTTACAGCGGATCTCTGCACACTCAGACAGCCACCGCTTTAGCTTATTCACGCTATCTCGTCTGCATCAGGTCGTAACATTTCTCACAGTGGTGTGGTCACATGTAGAGGAGAAACGCTCGGTTGATATCTGGCAACTCCGCGCATCTGCTTAGCGAATGTGACGGAAAACANGTGGTTCTGTCAGCAATGCCCCATACCTGTCGGAGTTAGGCGTGGCCAGCTAGATTGTTCAATTACACAATACGGTTATGAATAGTTGATGGCCGAACGTGAACTTGTTCATTTGATGTGCCATTCACATCAAACATGGTACTAATTGACACAACTTGGGGACAGCTGGGAAAAATGTGACAAATGAAGCGATCTGATTCAGATTTTCTCACAACCTGGACAATATGTCAAACATGTGAAATTGACTGATGTATGCCACAGTTTGTTTGTTAATACAACGATTTTCACACGTGAATATCCGGTGTACTATGCATTCTGTCATGTTTGATTTAGTTGACCGTGTGGGTGTGAATTCCATCAATCACTGTCTGTTTATGTAAACACCACACTTACACACTGTGTTGTTCATAGCGAGCGAGCAAAGACGAATATATAGTGGAGATTAAGTTGTGTTTTGAATCCACAAGATGGCGCCGGGAAGAGGATAGTTATCTATTAGGAATACTGGTCAGGGTATTGGTAAATTGGCATAGATACAACAAAATATCTCATTCGGAACGAGTTTTTAGAATTACTACACACACACACACAGGATAGTTGGTGGAACGGTCCATTCACATTCCCGTAGTTAGCACATTGCACAGTAATTCGCTCCAACAGGTTTTGTTTAATTTGCTCGTTTAAGCAAACTGCCGATCACATCCTTTTGCGAACTACTAATAAATGTGACTAGTACCTCATGACAGTTGTAAAACTAAGGCAATTGGACCGAATGTAAATCATATTGAGCACAGTCTGCCATTTGGCCACAAACGGAAATCTGTTCCCTTGCTGTCAGAACGAGTCGAGTCCTGCTAAGAGCTGTGCATCATTTCTGTTTGTTTTTAATTTCACTTTATACACTTTATACAACTTCTATACCTTACAAGTTTTATGCCTTCCCTTTAAATTTTGCTGAAACACATCCGGTGCTTCATCCCAACATTTACTGTACAATGAACTCTGCGATGTGCGCTTTCAACAGGGATGATGATAGTTCGGGATTGGCTGACTCGTGCTCATCGAGACTGGCTCCCGCGCACTCAATCCTGTCCTCGTATTCTAGCTAGGATTTCCACCTGTGTCACCTGAAATGCTCCGAGAACGTAGGATGTACGTGTGTGAACATGCCATCAAAACCGTGAATGTGATCATTCGCTTTTCTTTCCCTGAGACAGACATGTTCTATGAAGGTCATGAATCGGTTCCGCCAAACTTTGTCGTTGGTGGTCCAATAACAGGTCGTTCTCAAATTGTTGATTACTTCCTATCAAGGTGCAGCCCTCTTTTGTGATTGACGGTGAAAACTCAGCTAACGGGGCCCCAGTATCGCATATATTCACACGGTATTGATCTCAAGTTTTGCCCCTTCGGTTTAAAAACTGGAACTACAGGTCAATATTATTTTCCAGTCTTCATTTGCACCTAAATATTATTCGCCCGATAGCACTATTGACTAAAGCCACCTTTTTTCTATTCCCAGTTGACCCCAGTACATCAGAAACCATTGGGCGCACGGTTAACAAATCCCCAACTGGAGATGCGTATTATCCAGTGGCGTATTTATACTATACTGCTCGGCATTTTGGTTGCTTTCATATTCCTCATTCATTATCACCACCGTTACTTGGAAAATTTCCCTGTAGCGGTGCCAGTCGAAATCACTCTGGAACCGTTTTTAGTTCATCCAAATCGATCACCAAAAACGATACCACAACTGCCAGACTTACACAAACTATACTGGCCTTCATGGCCAACTGCTGACATACCAACAGGCGTCCGAGTTAACAGGACCGGGAAAGTTCAACAATTACCCCGTCCATTCGAACCGATAATGAGTAATGGACAACGAGCATTGTGCAAACACCTATTGCGTATTTTTTCTCAAATCATGTTCGACAATGGTCTGGGTGATAAGTTTATTCTTGACAGTGGAACTCTGATCGGATCCTACAGACATCATGATATCGTTCCTTGGGATGATGATCTCGATGTATTGGTTGATGTAACTGTCAGATCCAAGGTACAGACACTGTTGGAACAACTCAGTCCGATATATCAGCTGACCAAACAAAAGAGCCGCGATAAATTCTACACAGTCACTACCCCCATGTTTGATACTGACTCGTCCGATTTGCTAGTTAGTCGCCGTGTATCTGAATTCCCATGGGGTTGGCCTTATTTGGACATTGGATACTATCAGCAAAACAACACTCATGTTTGGGAGATCGCACCGAGTTATGGCATAAAACATGAATGGTCCATAGACCTATTCCTACCACTTCGGTTGCGACCGTTTGGTGATGAATGGTACCCAGTCCCATATCGGACAGCGGAATTCTTACGTGTTGCCTACGGTTCTGATAATACATGTGTCCATTCTGGTTACTCTCATGTTCTCGAAGGTGGTGGACCAAGTGGTACACAGAACTGTACTGATCTATCAACACGATATGCATTTGTTGAGCATCGTTTAGTTCCCCATACCAATTACCGTGTGATCACTTCCTCATCGTTGACGGACTCTTTTGTTCTCGGCGAGGAAAGATTGGTTTTGCGGGATGTTGTTGGAAACACACATGTCATACACACACTACAAATGCCAGTGTTGGAATCGGAAACTCGATCAGAAACCTACGGATTAGGTGAACGTAAATAGACAGGTAGTATGCCCATTTTGTACAATATTTGTGAGTTTTTTTTTTGTACTACTGCAAAATGTTACTTGTCTTTCCGTAACGAATTCTTCGCCTTCATGTGTATATTCATGTTCCCCGATCACCGACAATGTGCAAAATTTATCGGACAAGAACCGCTTTTCAAAAGACTGCTCGACACTGCATACAAAGTTGTAATTGACTGCATGAACATTGAAATAAATGGTAAAATATTTTATTTTTATGAACGTTTTGGACACATGTTTGTGTTTGCATTTTATTGCACATATTTCCATCAAATCTAGGTTTGTCAAATTCCGAATTGTGGGCATTCATTGTCCAGGCCTATGGTGAATCCTGCATTTAGTTAATGATTTTTTCCGTTTTAGATATATATCACAATTTCAGAAGTCGTGAGTATCTCGCAAATGGCGAACCACTGAGGGTTCGAATATGAACACCAGAATTTATGCCTGAGGACCAGGAAGTGTTTCTCTCATCAATGGAAGTGCACTTTTACGGCGCGCGGATAATCGAAAAGGTTTCGCGGTATCCCAAGCTTTTGTCCGCCATAAGGCGAAGAATGTGATTTCAGTGTTTTCAGGAATACTTACACGTGCATACCCCGCTAGACTTACTCAAGGAAGCACTCATTCATCGAGTAATGGTGTCAGACGAAAAGCGTATTGATCATCTGATGAGGGGTATCCAACTCGGCAACTGGACACAGTCACCGTTATTTTGTGAAGTTTGAGCGCGACTGGATAACACGAGTATGGATAGCTCGACCAAACAGAACTCTAGCTACTCCCATCCAAGAGACCTATCATCCTCAATGTGTTGCTTTATACTCAAGTCTGTTAACACGGCCGAATCGGTCAAATAGGAAGGCTTAGAACAAAATGAACTATTCGAGCACATTATGTCGAACGTAGTGAGGTCCGCGTTGCCCACCAGTGTGTACACATTAACCCACGCCAAAACCTAAAACAAACCTTTCGCTGAAATATAACTTCTCCTGTGAAAGAAAAAGTAAAGGGAATGAGGTTTTGCGAGAATAACATCCCGGTCATTATAAAACAGGCTTCAGACCGTGCATCGGACTCCCAGCAGATCTCATTCGCAGAAACTGTGTGAGCGAATATCTTCCGAAAGTGGTATGTGTCAATGCCATCGACGTTGTGGGCACGAGAAGCAAAATTGTGAATTCCCATGATAGTTTGTACCACAACAGGTTGAATACCCGCCCTTCGGGTCACTGTGAAATCTCTATCATCCGTGCAACATCTTATCGCTTCCTCTTCCCCTACGGTAGCTCGCCAAAGCTCAGGTTTAAGAGCATGATTCAGCATGATTCAGAGGACAGGATACTGCTAGTACAGAAACACTGGGTTTATAGATAGCTAACGACACATCTGTTCCAACTTACGGTCAGTCACCCGTCAGCTTAGGTTTGAGACGCGTTTTGGCTTGGGTTTTTGTGATCGCCCTTGTCGCGTAATCCATAATTGACCTGAATTTCGTAGAACATCACGAGTTAATCGCAGACTACTATCAACTACATGTGGTTCAAAAATGAATGAGAAAGGAAAACACATGGACCGCATGATAAGTGCCAGAGAGAGAAGAGTTGTTTACTGGTATAAAAACATGAATAGCGGATAAATAGGATTACCCAGAACCAAACATGCAATCTGTAACAGCTGGTTAGCAGTTCTACGAATTTCTGTTGATCAGCGCTCAAACATTTACAATACGAACTCCTTCAATACGATCCTCAATGCCATGAGAATCCACCAATCGCTTTTTCATGTGCGCAACCAGCCTATTATTCGCAAATGTAAGTAGTATCTTACATCAAAACTATCGGAGCGGGATTTGATAGCAATACTCCCAGAACTGTGTCACATGTGTTGCCGACACTGTCGATCTTTGTGTACCCATCATGATGTAGTTGTCATTTCACATGATTCGAATAAACAATATGTTTTATTTGTTCTAAACTGAAACAGTGCATTAAATGAGTTCAATATGCACAAGTTTGAGGTCATCATTATGCATTAATTTACGTGAAATCAAACAACAATTTCCACATTATCAAAGCAAACTGAAATGAAACTGGTAATCACAAAGGAGCAGAACGCCACGACTACAGTTTTGTCATGGAGATGCGAGATCGTGAATTATCATGTCACAAATGAATGTATTCATTCCGAATTCGAGCCTACAGGTTCTTTGTGAAAATATATTTTCCATGAGAAGAATCATCAGAGATAAATAAGCTGTTTATCGTAAAAAAGCAGCGCTTTTGAGATGAAACAAATTGCCTCTCCTTTCATTTAGAGTGTGTTCTCGACAGTCCAAAATTCCGTGTGACTGTCAAGCACATAAGGGGCTCAGGGAAACGGGTTCCGGTGTATTAACTGCTTGCATCAGATAGACTTATTTGTTCTTGAATTGTTTTCATAACTAATAATGTATATCAACATTAGGAATCGGTTTGTCCAAACACTTGCATACATTCAGCTATCTTGTATAGTAATGTTTGACAGACCGGTTGATTGAAAATGCCACAAATTCCTATGAAGTTACTCGAACACAAGACCATTGTTGGTGTGATTGTGGGTATGGTGTTGTAATCGCACAGGATTTAAATCAGCACTCGATTCTCAAAGGATCGTCTTTCGGTATTGTGTTCTCATCCAGATAGGTAATGCACAGATGGTGAAATAGAACGCAGGTGGAAGTGTGTAGGGATTCGTTTATTTTTCGAATATCATGGTTATTTATAGGAAAGAGCGAGGACATGGGAATGCATAAATATCAAACGATTGGTAGACTGTTGTCAACCGTTTTGACTGGTTGTAGTTTCCGACCAATCATCTGAGTTCATCAATCCTTTGTCTGATTGGTTATCTCACAGTCAAGCAGTTTTCAGGGAGCATACTGAATAGCTATTTAGGAATTAAGGGAAAGAATAGAATCAAGGACATTGCTGGCAATTGAAACGAACGATTGGATAAAAGAATTTGTTCGACAACGCACCACAGCAGTTCAAGTTTCTGGGTCACTAGTTGGTCCAATCAAAGTCGCCTGTGGGATTCCTCAGGGATTATTTCTTTGTACTCAATTGTTTTCAGATTTT